AGCCCATCCAGGAGGAAAAGGGAAGCCAACCTGATGGCTCGGACCCACAACAAAGACTTAGTCCTCTGTGCAAACAGACTGACATAAAATCCGGACGAGGGATCACCAGCGCACAGGCAGTGAGACATTCCTTTACCCAGCGTCGCTGTGGAGAAGAGGACTGAGGTATTTGTTCTTGCTTTGAAACAAAGCGTAAGGCTGTGGTCAGCTCCTCAAGGTCTTTGGGTGCTGAACTCTCCTGAGAAAGGCAATAGCGCAGTCCGCCTTGCCCACAGGGATGCATTCCAGGCCCTCCAGTGGCTGCCTGAAACCGCAGGTCGTACTGAGCCTTAATTCTCGTTGACTGCCAGAAAGGTGGCAGTGGCGTTTTCATGGAAAATACAACCTCTCGGTCATTTTTATGTTTTTCAGTCCAAACCTATTCCCGAATCTGTGTAACCATCCCTTACATGCAGTGAACAGTTTGTTGTCACTTATCTCAGGGGATCCCTTGCTGAAGTTGCTTACAGGCTCAGGGCTTTCTGCTGCCATCAGTCAGAACACGTTTTGTGTTCATGTCTTTGCCCACAAATTTTGTTTTTCCATCCTAACTAAGCACTTGTCACACGCTGTGGCAGTAACTTCCGCAGTCTGCGGTGTAACAGCAAAACTAGCACATACTTCTTTTTCCTTCTCTCAATTTCACAGGTAGAAGATTTGTGTTTACGGTAGATCTTAACAAGGTCAGCATAAACTTTTTTTTCTTTCCTTTTTAAATCCAGAACTTTCACCTTTCACTTTAAGCTTCTCTTTGGTATTTCCAATTGCAGGCATCACTGCTCTTGCACGTTTAGGCCATCATTAAGTAAAATAAGGGCCACTTGAACACAGGCACTGTGATGTGGCAACAGCCGATCTGTCTCTAAGCTGGATCTGGTGTCCCTGTCTCCCCGCCTTGCCTTACCTCATTTATGTTTTGCATGTACCTCTTACTCTGTTGCTACTGAAAAAGGGAGACTCACATCCCAGATGAGACGGAGTGGGGTGGTGTAAGATTTCATCACACTCTTCAGCACAACCTGCACTGAAAACTTATGAATTGTTGATTTCCAAAATTTTTCACTTAATATTTTTGGACAGCAGTTGACCACAGGTAACTGCAACCACAGAAAGTGACACTGTCAATAGCGAGGACTATTGTACCCATCAGCTGTCCATCAGGAGGTAGGAGAGGTTGGACAGGGGGTTCCACACTGACCCACTGCCATGGCCTCAGTGAGACTGCTCTGGAACTCCTGAAATACGAGCTGGTCAAAGCAAAAACTAACTAGGAGAATTTGGATTACGAATGCTAATGGGTTCCCACTAGGATATGGGTGAGACACAGGGAAAGTTGAATTTCACTAGGAAAGTGCAAAGTATGGATTCTTTCAGAGACCAACTGGCAAGATAGGTCCTTGGAGACCTTTGTTTTAGTAGAAACGTTCTCTCTCAAATCTTCCCATATATAGTGAGTTTTATGAGCTCTAAACGCCTTCTGCTCAGCTCTAGAGCAAAGTGCTTCCTCAGCCCTCTCCTAAGCACTTGCCCATCTTCCATCCATCAAGACTCCCCCAAGCAAACCCCGCCACTGAACACCTATCTAAGCAAGAGGGAAGGGAGACCAAGGCAGGTGGCCAGGCCCCTGTGTCAGGTGAGCTCAAAGAAAAACCAAGACAAAAGAGAGACACTAAGCACCACAGCTACTTTATTCTCTACTGATAATTTTCTTTCTTTCTTTTTTTTAAATTTTATTTATTTATTTATTTTAATATATTTTATTGATTTTTTACAGAGAGGAAGAGAGAGAGGAATACAGAGTTAGAAACATCGATGAGAGAGAATCATCGATCAGCTGCCTCCTGCACACCCCCTACCGGGGATGTGCCCACAACCCATGTACATGCCCTTGACCGGAATCGAACCCGGGACACTTCAGTCCCCAAGCCGACGCTCTATCCATTGAGCCAAACCGGTCTTGGCTGATAATTTTCTTTACTTTGCCAAATTAGCTATAGAAAAAGGAGAATATTTTTAAAAATTAAATGTAAAAAGTACAAATAAACAGCTTTTGACAATATACATGAGCTTTATGTGCTCTCCTTACGATCGCTCCCAAGGTGTTTGACTTTATTATGTACTAAGCAGAACTCATAGAAGGTCACCTGTCTGGCTGTGACCAAGGTAGTTCCCTATTCAGGTAAAATTCGGCCAACCTGGACCGCATGGTACCCCACTTAGGGACAAGGACCCTGTCGTGAAAGGAGACAAACGCTAACATTTTTCCCCCACTCACCTCCACTAACTCTTGGCTCATCCAGAGAAAGTGATTGACAACCCCAAAGGCTGCTGGACAACTATTTGACAGAGGGGTCCACTGAGAGGCCTCCTCCACCTGTTACTCTTTTCTTTATCACTTCACATCCATAGGGGTCCCTAAGCCCCAAGAGAAGGGTCAAGTGCAAATCTGGTAAACCAAGAAGCCCTAGCAGTTGTCAACTTAATTAGCCTTCAGGAGAAATCTATGGATATATGAGCACAGTGGAGTTGCTATAGAGACAGGCCCAGGAGGCGCATTTAGAACAGGGCCTCATCACATCACCTGATAAAAATAAGACCCAGGCTTTTTAATAGCATGAATTACTTAAGTTTTATATTTAACAGGGGACGATACCAAGGCTATTACTGGTTTTCAGAATATTTTAGGAATCCGGGCTGCCAGTTTGTACATATGTTAACAGCCATCACAACATATGCTCTGGAGGCTGGCAATTGAGAACTAGAAGCTCATGTGTCTCTCTCACCCCTGAGACAAGAGAGGGACCTTCTCACGTTGGGTTTGTCCTCCTTTAATTGGGGAGGAGATTTTCAACACGTTTCAGAGGAAAGACTGGGAAAGAGCTCTACTGTGCTTTGCACCAGGACCTTTGCATATATTATTGCTAATTCCTGTAACAACCCCATGAAGTAATGACCTCATTTTGCAGATGAAAACATTGAGGCTCAGAGAGGTTCAACATTTTCCCAAGGTCACACAGCTAATAAGTAGCAGAGTTAGAACTCAAATCCAGGTGTCCCCCATTCCAAAGCCCATTGCTCTGTACAAGGGAGAATCTGGGACGAGGGGAATCAAAAGAGATTTAACGTTTTTATTAATAGATGGCGTGGACTTTATTATAGTTTAATCTCTCCTCTAAGGAGGTCTGAAAGTGGATGGGCTCCAAGAAGAATTCCAGAGATTCTGACCTCTGCTGATGAGCACCTCTCCAGGTATCCAAGGCAAGTGTTCATTTCAAACTTTCTTCTTCTGACCACCCCATGCTTCTGGGTGCCTTTCCCCCAGCTCAGTCCAGCAGGCATAGTTAACACAAGATCCCAAAGCAAACACCATTGACAGTGTCTCCACTCCTCTTGCAGACATGAAAGCTTAAAGACATGAAACTAAGCTGGGAGTCCAAAGGGAAGGTTGTTTGGTTGTGGGCTTTGATTGTTTGTTTGCTTGTTTTTTACAATTTTGTATTTGCATTGTTCACAACTCTCCTACTCTATGCAGAGATGCTTGCTTGCTTTCGGCTTTATTTATTTATTTATTTATTTATTTACCATTTTCCCAACAAAGGCCTATATTGTAGACTCATTCTGTAGCCAAGAGGTACCAGTCTTTCCTTGTGGTGGGAAATGGTGCTGGTGACGATAGGGCTGGGCAGAAGGCAATGGATGTGACAGGGAGGGGAGAGATGGTTGGAAGCTTGGGGCCCTCTCAGTTTTTCTGCCGAAAGTAATGACAGAAGTTGTCTGGGCTCCAAAGGATCTGAGGGAATATGTGGAGGGAGAAACTAAAATGTGTGGCTTGGCAGAAATTCTAACAAAAGCATCACTCGATGTGAACTAGGCAGAGAAGCAGAAGGCAGGGGGATGCCACAGATGAGGCCGAGGCCCAAGCAGAAGCAGAATGCTTCGAGTCTCAGAAGAGGCCCTGAGCAGTGGATCCACCCTAGGAACTTTGCCCATGCTGCCTGCAGCCTCCAGCCTGTGGACACTGACTGGTGAATCATTTGGGCCATTGAAATAATCCTGTGGTTGACTCGTGGCATGTAATAAGCTCAGTAGTACCCGAGGGCCAGCCTGGAAATCCCATTTCCACTCCAGGCAAGCACACAGAGGTTAAAGGCATGGTCTTTCAACTCACACCAACTTTATGTCCTGGCTTTGCCACTCAGTAGCTATGGTAACTCAGGCAAGTCATTTAAGCTCTCTGTGCTTGAGCTTTCCTGTCTGTAAAATGGGAATTATACCTATCAGATGCCAAGGATGAGCTCAGGTAAGAAAATGGCCAGTGGGCTATGTCCAGGGCAAGAGACAAGGTTCACTCTGTTGGCTGGGTGAATGCCATGGCCAGGACAGTGAGCAGAAGCCAGACCCCAACTCTCTCCCTCCATGACCCTAATGCTCCTTGGATAATCCCCCCACCCCCACCCCTCGCCACCCAATCTCTGTCCTCTTCTGCTGAAAGGGTCCCCTGAGCCACTATTGCTGTCAACCATGAGCTCTTTCCATGAAAAGGTCTCTAGGGTAACTCATAGGCCCTGGTCGCCACGTGCCACCAAGCCTTCCCTTATCCCCATCTTTACCTTTGCCCTCTAAATAAGGAAGCAAGCCCTGCCAAGCCAAGAACTTCTGCCCAATTTGGATCCTGGGTCGCCTCTTGCTTGCCTCTTTCCCCAGGCCCCCAGCCAACCCCTCCCTCCCTCAGAGATGCTCCCCGCTCACTTCATTCCTGCCTCATAGTTGGAATGACAGTGGCTCCCAGCATCCCCGAGGCGTGGGGAGGGTGCTGGGGGCCTGGGGAGCAGCCAGCTCAGGAGCAGGTTAATGTTACAGCTCTGGATAAGTGAGCTGGGCCAGCTGACGTAAGGGTGATGATGGGTGGAGGGGAGCGCCAGGCTGCTGGACTATAAAGACAGGTCAAATCAAATGTAACCAACTCGGGACAGAGCTAGCGGGCGAACTAGACAGTGTCCCCAAGCCATGGTCCCTACCAGCCGCGGCTCAGCCTGGGTCCTTCTGCTCCCGACCCGAGTGCCCGAAGCAGGCTTTGGTTTTATGTCAGCAGCCTTCATCTGCCTTCCAAAAATAAGCCCCTGCCGCCATGCCGAGGGGAGAAAAACAAGAAGGGCGGTATTTTTAGGGCCATTAATTCTGACCACGTGCCTGAGAGGCAAGGTGGATGGCCCTGGGACAGAGGCTGTTCATCGCTATGTCCCGGGGAGCAGGACGCCTTCAGGGCACGCTGCAGGCTCTCCTCTTCCTGGGCGTCCTAGTGGGCATGGTGGTGCCCTCCCCTGCGGGCACCCGGGCCAACAGCACGCTGCTGGACTCCAGGAGCTGGGGCACCCTGCTGTCCAGGTCCCGAGCTGGGCTAGCTGGAGAGATTGCCGGGGTGAACTGGGAAAGTGGCTATTTGGTGGGGATCAAGAGACAGCGGAGGCTCTACTGCAACGTGGGCATCGGCTTCCACCTCCAGGTGTCCCCCGACGGCCGGATCAGCGGGACCCACGAGGAGAACCCCTACAGTGAGTGTCAGTGGCAGCAGTTGGGAAGCTGGGGGCTTGAGCTCAAGCAGGGCTAAGGGATGCAGGGGACTTGCTCTGATGCGCGGGGTCCTGTTAGGAAGGACAGTGGAATGCTATTCTCCGCTTGGATGCCCTTAACAGAGCCATCCCTTCCAGGCTCACTCTGACTCTGCCCAGGTGCAGGCTCAGTCTGCGGAGGTCCCAGCATCCCCGTGTGCTTTGCCATTATCTCATGGAGCCCCCGTGGCACTCATATTTCAGCATCAGGGGCCCACCTGTGGCCATGTAAGACCACTGGGAACCATCAGCCTGGGAAACCAAAGGCAAGGAGGGGGAGAACCAGTGAGGATACTTGGACCAAATTAGACACAGATTTGTTTTTATTTAGCTTCCCTTTGAGAAGGAAAGGCAAGTGGTTTGCACAATTTCCAGCTGAAGCACATCTTCTTTTCATTTCAGCCTGCCCTCTCTGTCCTGGGGTCTGGGTCCTACAAGTTGGTGGTTGCTGCATAGATAGGCTCTCCCATTTAAGGGGGCGGAGGTTGAGGGGGAGGACGGCTGCAGGATCCAGGCAAACCATCAGCCTCTGCTGATGCATTTGCAAGATCAGATGGGATGAGATTTGTTGAAACATGTGGAGTACATTTTTAACAAAATGAATCTGAATGCAATTGTTACCCAACTCAAGAAGCGATTAAGTCAGTGAAAGCCCAGATTCAAAGCTAGTTGTAAGTAGATACCTAAGTAGCCACTGTGATCCCTAACTCTGATGTCAGAACTTCCCCTTGCAGAACCGGATTTTTGACAGCCTATTGGCAAGACCTGCCGTATCTAGCTGTGGGATTTCCTAAAATTAGAGAGGTCAGGGATGGAGGTGACGAGGGTCTGGCTTTCTAGGAGCAGGAGGGTGGGCCCCGCTGGGTCACCTTTGGATTGACAGCTCAGTCTGATCTGCACAAGCCTCAGGTAACAGAGCCCGTGTTTCCCCACAGGCCTGCTGGAGATCTCCACCGTGGAGCGAGGGGTGGTGAGTCTCTTTGGAGTGAAAAGTGCCCTCTTCGTTGCCATGAACAGTAAAGGAAGATTATACACAACGGTGAGTTCGTCAAGCCAGGGGAAGCTCCGGGTTGTACAAGCCTGAAACTGACGCCACTGAGGAAAATAATACCAACTCTGGAGTATGGTGATGGATATTTCTCTAGAATTAGAACAGAGTGGGCTGTAGGAGGAGCCTGTGCAGGTGGTGGCGGCAGGGGGAGAGGGGCTTCCTGAAGCTCAGGCTTCATTGGACCATGATCCTCCTGATCCTGCCTCCCAGCGCTTTGTAAGTCCAGGGACCTGCAGCTCATAGGGTCGCTGGCCTGAGGAAAAGCTGCCTCTGGCCTCCAGGCTGTGCAGGTTTGATTCCCTGAACTGGAGAGGCCACAGAAGCAAGTGGTTCTCCACGACCCAGTGCAACAGGAGGAGGGAAAACAGAGGCGCTCTCCTCGCCCTCATCAGTGTGGGGAACTTTTCTGGTAGGTTTCAAGTCTCACCCCTGACCCCAGAGGCTGGGGAAGCATCGGCCCTATTATGGCACCAGGCCCACTCCTCCTCCCTGTCACAGATCACCTGGTGAGATTTACCTCCCAACTTCTGAGCACATTTACCAAAATCCCTGTCCTCTCTATCCCTTCCTCCTGGGCCTCTCAGCCCATGATTTGGCTGATTCCAAAATACAGTCTTGGAAAGTATCCCTGTGATGCTGAAGAAACCAAGAGTTCTTTCGACAGAAATAATAGGGCTAAAAAGAAAGACCTCTGGGCAATGGTCAAGGAATACCAGAGTTATTTATGGGAAGGGCGTGGAGGGCTGCTCTACCTCTCCTTGGAGACAGACTGAGGATCAGGAAGTGGACAGAGGGATCGGGGATTGGTGCTGGCTTCTGGGGAGACTATGCCAACAGAGCAGGTCTGTTAGATACCTGAATGGGGTGCCCACGTGGCCTCTGCCCTTGAACACCTCTCCGCCTGCACTGGTTTCCATGCAGACGGGCATGGATTAAATTCCATGGGTCTCTGAAATAAGACAAGTAACGGAAGGGCAGCGGGGCAGGAGCTGGAACTCGGGTTCCACTCTGTACACCAAATGCACGTCTGCTGTGGGCCTTACCTGCCTTACCTACTAGGCCCTGAGGCAGGTCCCCACACTGCCGTGACTGACACAAGACCTTGGGGACCTGGGGTCTTAACTAAAAAGTGAGAATAAAGATCAAACACGCTTCCCAAGGGTGTTGGGGGATAATGCTCAGAAAGCCCTCTGCAGGGCAGCCTGCAAGCACCCCTCTTTCCTACAGATGAGACATGTGGGAGGACATGTTAAAAGTATCAATTTCCAGGGACCTTTCTCAGAGATCGGAGATGCTTATCCAGGAGGACTGGGCTGGAGCCTGGAAAACGGCTTGTCTGTTTTTGCTTTTTACATTTCTCTGGTGTCTCTTAGGCAGAGGCAGGCTTGGGAACCACCAGGCTACAGAGCCTCTGCCCTGCCCGAGGGTGACCCCAGCCCTGAGAGCTGGAGGGCTGGGGAGATGAAACAGCATGGAATTCTCAGACACCTTTTACATCTCAGCACCGGTGATGGAGGGGACAGGAGGCAGCCAGGACCAGCCCAGGTGTTAGCCATGTGCCTGAGCATTAGGACCAGGGTGTCCACGGAGTAGGCACCCCTCCCAGGAGTGCGTCACCCCTCAGAGCCCCTCACAGCCTGCGTGATGCCTGGAGCCCACTGGTTGGGCTAGGCCCACTGGTGGTGCGTGAGGTCCGAAAGGTGGGCTAGCGCTGAGCTAGGGGACCCTAAGCAAGGGCTCCTGGGCAGGGAAATCTGGAAGGAAAGCATTCAGTACAGCAGCCCTTACTCCGGCCACCTTTGTTAACGAGCTATTCAACACGTCTCTGCCCAGAAAGGAATTCACCTGGGAGGCGGGGGAAGGGCACAAATATGGGGGATATTTATCCTCTCCCCACGTTAAGTCCCTGGTCCCGGGAGGAGAAGCCAAGGAGGCTGGGCACACGAGATGTCAGCAATCAGGGGACATGCTGCACAGGGTGAAGCCTTCAGAGCATCCACAGGAAGGGAGCCAGCGCTTTGCAGTGTGGACTGACTCTTCATGCAGGGGACACCCCTGGCCCTAACACTGAGGCACATGACTTCCAAGGGGACAAGCAGGGCTCATTAAATGGCCAGGGTTTAGGAAGAGGGGGAGAAGATCGCCCAATTGTCACACACCCCACCCACACTCCCCAGGGGCACTTTCTCTAAGTGGGGAGAGTCTCCTCCGGATGGAGCCCAGGGCCAGGCAGGAGTTGGGCTGGACAGGGAAGTGTAGAGCTGAGCTTGGAGCCGCTGCCCCGCAGGGCTGGTTATCACAGTCTGAAAAAACAATTGCCAGCTGATCCCGGAGCCAGGAAGACTGCTGCTGGGCGATGATTTCATTCACACCATTTCCCTTTAAGCCCCCAGAGCCGCCTCATCCCGAGCTGGCTCAGCTGCTCCTGCTGCTAAATGGGACTTCTCCTAGAGGGAAGGAACCGTGCTGGGCAGGAGACAGGAGACAGGGGACAGGGGACAGGGGACAGGAGGGTGGGGAGGGGGGCAGAAAAAGTGTTATGAAAGCCCACCTGAGGAAAAGCAGCCTCCCACTTGTCTCACCTGCAGGAGAGAGGGGTGCAGAGCCTGGCCCTCCTCAGACAACACAAATAGCCACCCCGTTTTAAGCACCTACTGTTTGCAGGGTGCCCTGCAGAGGGCTTTCTGGTCATTATCCCCCAACACTCCGGGAAGCGCGTTCGACCCTCCCTTTATAGTTAAGACCCCAGCCGAAACCGGTTTAGCTCAGTGGATAGAGCGTCGGCCTGCAGACTAAAAGGTCCCGGGTTCAATTCCGGTCAAGGGCATGTACCTTGGTTGCAGGCACATCCCCAGTGGGGGGTGTGCAAGAGGCAGATGATCGATGACTCTCTCTCATCGATGTTTCTGACTCTCTATCCCTCTCTCTCCTTCTCTGTAAAAAAAAAAAAAAAAAAAAAAAAAAAAAATCAATAAAATATAGTTAAGACCCCAGGTCTCCAAGGTCTTGTGTCAGTCACGGCTGTGTGGGACCTGCCTCAGGGCCCAGAGGTAGGGCAGGTAAGGCCCACAGCAGAAGTGCATTTGATGTACAGACTAGGACCCGTGTTCAAATGGGGCAGAAACCAATGAATCCCAATCTCCTTTAAAAAAAAAAAAAAAAAAAAAAGTCAAGGCTCTCCACTTGTTAGAATCCTTTGGTTAAAAATAAATAAATAAATAAAATAAAAATGCCATCAATGAAAAAACATCCAGCTTAAGAAACAGTCTTATAAGAGTTTATTTGAGCCAAACTGAGGACAATTGCCAGGAAGCAAAATCTCAACACCCTGAGAAAATGCTCCACAGAGTGGCAGTTTTGCAGCTTATTTTATACATTGGAATCAAAGGAGGATTCCAATGTATAAAATTGGAATACATTTGAAGATTGGTGCTCAAGTGGTTACATGGGATATGCTGGTGGTAGAGTTGGGAGGTGGGAGAAAAGAAAGTTGGGGAAATCTCTGGATTGGATAAAAAGGTAAAATGGAGAGACACTTTGCTTATATTGGGGTGTATGTTAACATTTACAGCATGTAGAGGTGGTATTTGGGGCACAAAATAACCATGAGGGGTTCTGTGGTCTCTGCCCTGGTGCCTGTCGTTGTGCCCTGAAGGGTCTGGAAAAGGGGATTGTTCTGACATTCCAAAGATATGTTATCATAGATGCAAAAGGACCATCAGCAGGCTCAGTTAAGGTAAAGGTTGACCTCTGTCAGGCAAGCTACAGGCTTAGGATGGGCCTACCTGCCATGACTCGCTTTTCGTTAGGAAATTTTCACTTCAGACCATCCTAGTCTCTGAGTATGTAGGGCCCACCATGCAGGCCTCCCCTGAGCTTGTCAGGTTTAGTATGTGGCCCCTTTTTCCTCCACAATAAACAGCAACGAAAAGGTACTAGAAATTCAGTTATGCTTTTAAGTGATTTTAGTTTTACAAATTATAACTGCCTTCATCTTTTAAATCAATAGTAGTGTGACACTATGTGCTTCATGCCGAGAGGCCTGTGAGAATTACCTGGGGCAGGTAATTTCCCTCCGTCCAGTCCCTGCTCAGTTCGCTGCTCCTCTCATCTAGTGTGCGCGAGGTCTGGGCGAGGGGTGCCAGAGCGCCCTGCAGAGAGGTCTCAGAACACGTGGCCTCCTGCAAAGAGCCACAGGAATGTGAAAAACGATGTGCCTGGTGAAAACATTTTCAAACCCTCTACATTGCCAATCCAGTTGTGTGCTAGGAACCGGGGTTCGCGAATACAGACCTCTTCAGAGCCGGGAGCTGCTGTGTCTCTTCTTTTCAGCTCAGGACAGGGAAAGAAGCAGTCCATGGCTGCAGGAGGAAAGGATCTCTCAGGACAAAGTGTTTTCTTTTTCGTTTCTATGCCCACTCCTTAACCCACCCGCCCCCGCCTCCACACACACACAACCAGGAGTAATAGGGACAAGCGCCAAGGGCAGCCGTAGGAGGAGAAACTTTAACGACAAGGATCCACTCCCATCAGCCTGGGTGACTGGACTCTGCCTAAAGGCAGGAGATGGCTGTCTGGTCCACACAGACTTCAAGGGGCATTTCTGCCGGAGGTAACTCACGCAGAAACACCCACACGTCCACCCCTCTGCGGAGGCCTTCTCCAGAGGGAGCGTCAGTGCTTGGTCTGGCTCCACAGAAGCCTGATGAGACCTGTGTGGAACTTAAGACATTGTCACACTGGGGCTTGAGGCCCGGCAGGCCCAGGAAATGGGAACCACTGGCATGATTTTCATTTGTTCTAGTGATAACACATGGCAGCTGCTGTTCTTACCACGCTGTTCCCGTGGCCCCGTGCATTTCACACCAGAGCTGAGGAGCCGGCCTTCCTGAGCCAGAGCGCTCAGAGCTCAGGGGAGAGGTGGAGGTGAACTAGGGGCTGGGTCGTGGTACCAACTTGAGCACCAATCTTCAGGAAAATCGCACCGGCCTGGAGCGTCAGCTGCACCACAGAGTTTGGGAAGTTGTCTGTAGGCACCTGAACTAGAGCATGGGGGTTGGAGGTGTGCTTAAAAGAACAGGCCAGGGGAAGGGAGAGAGGGCTTCTAAAGCACACTTCGTCTATTTCTCTTTTTTCTTTTTAGATTTGTACAAAATTCTGGGGAAGGCTAGGAATATGAGCTAAGCTAGATAAAAGGGACAGAATGGGGAAAAAAATAAGTCAGAAGCTTCTTTAAAGGGGAGGGTGGGACTTGAATAATCAAAATCTGATGAACAGGACAAAATATGATGTATACAGCACCATCATGCACATGTAAATAAGTGTTTTAGGAGACCCAGTCACCAAGGAAAGGCTGAGTTCTTAAATTGGACACATTCTTGAACACGTTCTATAAGCAAAAGCCTTCTGAGCTTCTTGCCAGAATGGCTCAACTTCCCTTCCTCTTCTCTCCCTCCTGCCTCTACCCCAGGATTTGATTCCCTCTCTGGAGATTGCAAACCACATAGGCAGCCTCTCTCCTAACCACCATCCAGGTCAGAAATGAATTCTCCTGGAAATCAGTGGGGCGGTTACTCTGCAGGGACATACAAAATTAGAAGGGAGGGGAAAGTGGTGGGTGGAGACTGGGCTGTGATGGGAGGAGGAGGAGATCACCAGTTTCTGATACCAATGTTTTCTCCATTTCCTGGCCCATCTTCTATCCTGAGTTCCTTTTCCATTTTAAGTAACCTACTTATATGACTAGGTAATGCATGGCCATGGCCTAAAGGAGGAGAACAAACACCAAAGAATACGGAAGTAAGCCTCACTCTCCCTGTTGTCCTACAGCCACCCACTTCCTCCCAGATTCAGCCGCCCTTACCAGTGTCTTGTATACCATCCCAGGAAACACCTGTGTCCCTGCGCGTGCACACGGCATTTTTTTTTAAAGTCACACAAACAGAAGCATGCTACACATACTGTTTGAAGCTTATTTCTTTACTTAACAGTGTATCTTTGAGACCATTTCAAGTCAGTGCACAAAGAGGGTCCTTACTTTCTCATGGTTATCGTGTTCCGCTGTGTGGACTCACCCTAATTGAGTTCACCACTCCTCCTAATAGACACATAGGCTGATGTCGGGCTTTCACTACTGAAAACAATGCCGCAGCTGAAACCAGTGTGGCTCAGTGGATAGAGCCTCAGCCCCCGGACTGAAAGGTCCCAGGTTCGATTCTGGTCAAGGGCATGTACCTTGGTTGCGGGCACATCCCCAGTAGGGGGTGTGCAAGAGGCAGCTGATCGATGATTCTCTCTCATCGATGTTACTAACTCTCTATCCCTCTCTCTTCCTCTCTGTAAGAAATCAATAAAATGTATTTTTTTAAAAAAGAAAAGAAAACAATGCCACGGTCACTTTGTTACATGTGGCAGCCTGTACCAGCGAGGTAAATTTCTAGGAGCAGAATTACTCATCAAAGCTGTAACAATTTTTTATCCTAATAAACACTGTCAAATTGCTCTTTATAAAGTGTATAACCGTTTACACATCAATGAACATTGAATGAGAAATCCTCATTTCTGTCTCTTCACCAATGAAAGTATATTATCAAATATTGGTTCTCTTTATAATCTGACAATTAAAAATGGGACCTCACATTTTTGTGTCACTTACATTTCTCTTATTAAGCATATTTTCTTAGGTGGCTTTTTTTGTTTGTTGTATACAAACCACTGGCATGATTTTCATTTGTTCTAGTGATAACACTAGAGGATACTTTTTCCATTGCTTCTTAGAGAGAGTGGGAGGGAGGGGGAGAGACAGAGCAAAACATCCATCAATTGTTGCCTCATGCATGCACCCCAACTGAGTTATGTGCCCTTGACCAGAATCAAACCCTGGACCCTTCAATCTGAGGGCCAACTGAGCAAAATTGGCTAGCGCATATTTTCTTAGGTTTAAGTGATATTTGTATGTTCCTTTCTATGAATTGTCTGTTCATTAATATCCATTTTTCAGTGAGTTAAGGGTTCTGAATATAGTAACAAAATGCTTTACAAAATAAAATGTATTGGAAATATTTTTTATCCAGTATATTACTTATATTTTTATTTTGTTTAAGGTTTTTAAATTTTTTTCCAGACAAATTAATTAATTAATTTATTTATTTATTTATTTATTTATTTATTATGACTTAGATTTTTGAGTACTGCTTAGAAAGATCTTTCTGACTTTTTTTTTAAATTTCTATCTTTAAAGTTCTCTTTTTTTTGCAATTAAATCTCTACTCTGTTTAGAATTTATTTTAATATAAGAATGAAGGCATACATCATACTTATTGTTATTGTTATTATTGTTCTTATCAACACCATGTTTCCTCAGTGATTTGAAAGACACTTCTATTTCTAGATACACTTTTATTTTATATTCACTTCAGGTCCATTTTTATTTTATATTCATGTACTTTTGGATTTACTTCTTGACTTTCTATTTTGTTCATTTGTCTGCACCAGACTTTTATTATGGCACCAGACAATTATTTTTTATTTTCCTATGTGCCAGGCATTATACCAAGGACTTTTTATACATTGTCTCACTTAATAATTACTCCAATTCTATGACATAATTATTCTTACTGCTCCCACTTTACAGATGAAGGAAACTGGGGCTTAGGAAGTTAATTTGCCCAAGTTCACATAGCTAAGTACAAGGTGAAGCATCATCAGTCTAACCTCAAAGCTATTGCTCAAATGTGCTCTTTACCCACTTTGATTTGTTTACTCTCCCCACCTTTGGGGTGATCCTTCCTTCACGCATTCCACAAATATTTATTGAGCACTCATAGGAGAGAAGGGACAGTTTGTGGCAACTCCCTCGATGGTATTAAGGAGCCATTTGATAGTGGCTGGTGAGAGTTTTCACATTTGTCTCAAGGAAATTAACATAATGTGGAAGAGCTTTGTAAACTAGGGTCCTGAGAGGGAAGGAGACAGGGCAGAAGGGGAGACCACACCTCCTCCTTGCTCACTCCCACCCTGCATCGATCCCCACGGGGTATCTATACATTTCAGTGTTGTTCCTAATAAGTCATCATTCATTCAGCATCATGTACTCAACAAGGCACAGTTCTTGTCTTAAGGAACTTGGAGTCTGTTGGGATAGAAAAATCTGTCCACAGGGATCACACACTGTTTTAGATGCTGCCTGAGAGCTTAACTCAAAGGGCTGGGAGTCTGTGAGCCCTGGTGAGCAAGCTCGTCACCTTCTGTTCAAAACAGGAAGAAGCCCGCTGCCAGCGGGTCAGTGAGCTCACAGTACAGTTCCTGTAGAGAAGGTCAGATGACACCTCTGGTATGGAGAGCCATTGAGTGGGTTATTTTATAGCTGATGGCCCCAGTCAGCAGGAAGGAATCAGAAATGATACTCCACCTATTTCTCTGTTACATTTTTTTTAGACTACATCCTAGGTCTCCTGGCTTCCAGATCATTCTCTTCCTCTAGACCCCAAGGAACTGCTCCTCATCAAAAGCACAGAAACCCGCCCAGGCCCCCCCCTCAGGACAGGGATCCGGCCTACTAGGAATCCTAAAACTGTTAAAAGGGTTCTCTTTTCTAGGAATAAAGGAGGATGTGGGCTATTGACTGGGGATGGACCTGTGGGTGTGTGACAGGAAGTCCAGCGCTCACTTCTGAGCAGACGGTCCGCACAAGATCAGCAATTTATCACTGGCCCAGACCCCATGGCACCACTGTCATACAGGCAGCCAGCTTCTTTTCCCCACAAAAACCTCTGCTCCCCACCATCTCTGTTCCTGCACTTCCCTGGAGAACTACGAATGTCCAGTGAGACACGGGGCATCTTCGGGCTCGAAGTCAAAATGCCTCTTTAAGGAATTGCAAACTTGGGACTTAAAGTGGGAAAGGCAGTGAGGAAGCACAAGTGGAAAGAGTGAATGAATTGCTAAGTTCAACAGACAGCAGGAGAAAGGACTTAGGAATCATCTCCCTTGACCCCTTCACCTCCTCTACCTCCCCCCTCTTCCCCCCCCCCCCCCCCCCACCACCATACAGTTTGCAGAAAAGGAAACCAAGACTGAAGGAGGAGCAGCCTGCTCAGGGCACACAGCCAGGGAGTGGAGAAGCCACTAACCAGAACCCTGAGCTCTTTCTCTCAGTTCTGCTCTACTAGACTACCTCTCTCAGTGGACAGCCTATTACCTCCCTCTCTGGTCCTTTCTCTGAGTGGGGTAAATCATCACAGGTGCTTAGTAGAAAGTGCCCTGAACTGGAAATCAGGAGACGCACCCCCTGTGACACAGACTGTCCACCTACGTCCCAGGGCCTTGGTTTCCTCCTTTCAAAGGAGGGAAGGTGAGAGGGAACCATGAGAGTTCTGAGGTCTCTTCCTGTTCCAGCCTTTCAGATTCTGTTCACCTGGGGTGCCTTGCATCACACAGTGGTTGTTTTATAAAGGGGGGTGAGGGGGGGAGGGGGGGAGACGCGGAACAGAGGGAAGGGCACTTGGCAGCTGGTCGGCTGGGCCTCACTTGTAATTGGCCTGCTGTCTGTCCATTCTTTCACAGACCAGCTTCCAAGAGGAATGCAAGTTCAGAGAAACCCTCCTGCCCAACAATTACAACGCCTATGAGTCAGACCTGTATCGGGGGACCTACATCGCACTGAGCAAATACGGACGGGTAAAGCGGGGCAGCAAGGTGTCCCCAATCATGACCGTCACTCACTTCCTCCCCAGGATATAAGGACCCTGGAAGAAGGTGCCCAGGCTGAAAGTGACATTTTTTTTCTACTGGAGTTTTGCACAGTGAACCATTTCCCTCAGCCCCATGCCTCCTGAGTCAGGTTTCTCTGGTGCTGGGGGAGGTCTGCGTGGGTTCTTTCTGCCGCCAGACGCCAGGACATGTAACCCTCCCGGGTGAGGGGTTGCAGCCAGCTTTCTAGAATGGCAGTGGAGCCCATGCTCTGACTTCACCTGAAAAGAGAAGGTAAAGATGACACTTGTGGAATGTGACCTTGTGCCCAGGAGAGGCCAGGGAGGAAACATGTGTGTGCTGCTGTGTATCCATACATCTTTGTCTATGTTGTCAGAGCAAAGGCATTTCAGAGCATCGGGTTTCTTCCCTCCAGATCATTGTGGCAGGCATCTGCCTGCAAGAATGTCACTTGTCAAACCACCAGGATTGATGCGTGCTCCCATTCTGCCTCTTTCCAATCACCTTTGTGTGCAGACCTGACTGCACGGGCTGCACGGTGGCGGGGAGCAGCAGAGAGGCAGGGTGAGCGGGAGGAAGGTTGGATTGCAAACCAGAAGGAAAGTGAGCAGGCACTCTGACCGTCCTGCTCAGGAGGACTGTGGGGACACAGGCGCATTGTGGGGGCAGCTGGGGGAGAAGGGGTGCCCTTTCCGGAGGACAGCAGTTTCTCAGGTGGGTGGGGAAGGCCTGCCAGGGGCAGCGGAGGGACTGGATGTCCCTCCATTCAGCTGGAGGACTCAGTGCTGTGCGGCTCCGAGATCAAGCGGGGCCAGGCTGCCTGCCCGTAACTTTTCCTCACTGTGAACCAGGTCTTATTTTAACCTCAGATGACAAGGATCCTAATAATGGCAACCTCTTTGGCAAGGGGCACCGGGATGCAAAATAGAGCATGAAGGAAGTAGAGAAGCTCTGGACTCCAGATGATAATTCCTCTCCAGCTCCGTCCAGGAAACTCACCCAAGTTCTCATCCGATACCCGCACTTCCTTCTTGCTCGTCCTGGTCTCACATACATGCCGGTGCCTGGATGCAGGAGAACGGGCACTGGGCACCGTGGCGTCTGGGGTGTGCCCCCTCGGCCCCTGCTGTAGAAGAGTGTTAATCCTGTAAAAATCAGGCAGCCAAGCTGAGGCAGCTCCCTGCTGCTTGGTGGCTTCTTGCCTCGTGCCCTTTGAGAGTATTTAAAGCAGAGGTTCCCTGAGCGGCTATAAATGTTGTCCTCCCAGAGCCTTCGGATTCCTGAGCCATCGGGCCGTTCCTAAATCTGAAACCAGAGAGGGCCATGTCAGAGAGCAAACATTTTCGGCATACGTGAACCATGGAGTTACACGATGACCTGACACCCGCCGCTACTCCCAGGGGCCCCTCCCTGCAAGACAGCCCCCCATCTGCTGCCGCGCCTCACCCCCGGCATGCTGCTCCAGTGTAGATGTGCCGTCTATACATAGACCTGCTCTGGACGACTGTGAGCCCAAGACGGGCATTGGCAACCCAACGGAGAGAGGCCATTCTGGCCGCCTCCCCTGCCCAGCAAACAGCAGGCGGACATGTGCTGGGTGAGGAGGAAAAGGTCATACCTAGGTGAGCCGATCTTGAACAGAAAGTAAGACCGGAGGAGGGAGAAAGGCATGACCATGCCTGGAATAGCAACTGGCGGGGGCTGAGGTCCTGGATCAGAAGGAGAGAAAAGAGGTCCCTCTTGACTGGAATCTTTGAAGTGCAGGCCCACTGGGAGGTGGAGGACGAAGCTGATTGTTTTCCAGGAGGCTGTCCAGAGCAATCTGTCTGTATAACAGGGTTCGCCAGAAACCGATGCTCTCAGAACCCGAGGCGCGTATCCCTTCAGATGGAATGCGGTGGGAGTGCAGGAAGGCTGGGTGGATGGATGGAGGAGGAACAAGTTTTAGGTCCCAAAGCATTAGTTCCTTCCTGCCTCGCTCTGCTCTTCGAGCTAGCATGGCATGACAGGGGCCGCAGACAGCCAGGCCTTTTCTGCATCTCTCTAGGGGCTCATAAAAGTGCTCATGTCAGGAGAAGGAGTTTCCCCAAATGCCTGCTCCCATTTGTCACACTGCGAGTGAGAAGGAGAAGCTGTGGGATGCCCAGGACCAGGCAGGCTTGATATTCGGCCACTGCACAGCGGCCCCAGCACGCTGGCTGTGACGAGAATCAGTTCTGAGCAGCTGGGCGTCTGTTCTAACTGGAACCAGGTCCCTTGCTCTACCAGATTGTTAAGTATTTTGATTTACACTTCTGGATGGAGGCACACATCCTTGACTCAGAAATCCTTCCCATCCAAAGGAATTCTCCCAAGGGCTTTCTCTTCGGCCTGTAAGAGACTTAGGCTTAAGAAAAATCAGTCCCCATTCACAGAAGTAGGTTAAGGGGCAGGAACAGCACAAGATCCGCACAAGGCTCCTCATTCCCTCTCTCACAGGGGTGCAGAGTCCTCACCTATCTGATCATCATGTCTGTTGATCATTGTGTCCGTGAATCTGAATTCAGATGCCAGCCCGGAGTCTCCAAGGGGCTGCAGAAAACGTTGCATAGCAGGGGAACAAAGGTGTCCCTGCCTTCCTGCTGACAATGTCCTATGAATGACTTGGTCTTTCCTCCCCCAAACCCTGAGCTCTGAGCCTGGTTTAGAGAGTTTTGTAGCTAATTGGTCTCTCTTCTCCCCTGAACTTCTCTGGCAGCTCCTTGCACACTTGCGGTTCCAGAAGCCCTGAGGCTGCCTTATTCCCTCCTAAGAGTAAATGGTAGAGAGAGCAGCATGCTGAACCCCTTTGAAGACAGACTTCTCAGCTGGGAAGAGGTTAGTTAGCTCAGACACCATGGGGAGCCCCAGGCCAGGTGAGACCTGCACCTGTCAGGGTAATAGATGGACACAGAGGAACCAGGAACCACCAGCTGCCTGCTCCAGCTGTGGATTAGGTTGGCGTCATAACTCGTTGCCTTCTGATCCCCTTTCTTTCCCACTTCCTTTCCCACTTCCATGAACCACCTTTCCTGGAAAGCAGCATATAATGGTGTGATTAAAACCCTGTCATTATCCTTCACAGCCTCCCCCTCTGCCGCCACGTCCCACAATACCTCCAACACACACACTCCAAGCCCCCAGTCAGGGTCCTTGTTCTATGACTTGAGAAAGAGACTAATTTCTCTTTCATCTGATCCAGCCTATACACCTCTCTCCTTTGCAGACAAGTAGATTTCTCATTAGGCCAATAATCCAGGCCTAAAATTCTCTCCCGCCCCCACCCTGCCCCAGGCGTTTGGAATTCTCCTGCTGGTGCTTACTTGGGGCCCTGTCTTGTCCTCCACCTCAGACCCTGCAAGTTCTCACGTTTGCAAGTCCTGAGGAAGAAGCAAGTGCAAAAGTCCACGAGCTGGCATTCTCCTGCCTCCCACGCTGGGCTTCACTGGCAATGCCACAGCCACGGGGCACTGCACACACCAGGTGCTGTCACCCTGTCCCCACTGCCCAGTCCCCTCTGAGCCTCTTCATGTGCGCTCACACTAGGAAACTCCCTCCCTCCCAGTGCTTTTCACCTGAAGTGGCAAAGAGGTTTTCTTTGCCACTTCAGGTCTCTGATATTTGTGCCCCCTCCTCCCATCAAGAAACCAGCCACTCATTCTGCTACCTCCCTGGAAAACTCCCAGGGCAGGAACATCTGGAATAAGGCCAGAGAACAGACAGGAAAACTCCAGTCTGTGCTTGCACCTGAGTTGGGGTTCCTCTCCCCAGAACAGGAGGGAGTGATCACACCCCAAACAGACCCCAAATCCAGCCCGTCGCGCAGACAGGCCACGCAGAACATGTTTACCTCACAAACCGCTGAGGCTCCAGCACTCGGACGGCTGTGTCCCCTCGTGGTTTCCCTTCCTACGAATCACTACGTACCTCAGGCTGGATCCCAATGCCAAACGCTCTCAAGCATGGGACTAGCGAGTAGGAAGGCTCAGAATTTGTTCAGTCATGTGCTTGTAAATGTGATGCTTCTATTTTGTTAATATGTATGTGCTATGCACAAACCATTTCATGTTCCAGCAACAAGTGAAAGGCCTTTTTATACGTTCTTCTCCACTGACTCCACCCTCCTATTAAAACTGACCGTGAATCTCCGGGCTGTGGCTGATTTTCATCTCCACTCTTTCCCGCCTCCTAGGGAGGCAGCAGGACAAACAGAAGCACATTCCTGCTGCGGGTATGAAAGAGGCATGGAGCTGTGGGTTATGAAGGCAGGAGGAAGTCATGCAGGCCACTGGGTCCGATCGCTGTGTTTTATAAAGGGGGGAGGGAAGGAAGCCACTGTGGACCATAAGACACGGTGAGGCAGCTGCCCTCCCCTCCTGCCTCGGTGAAGGCCAGATGCCCACATATCTGTGACCAGCACATCCGCTCACTCACTCAGTGACCCTCCAGGGAACATCTACTGAGCACACTGTCACTGCTGCATGGGGCTGGGCTTTGGGATACGTTGAGTGCACGGGGTAGACACAGTCCCCATTCTCTTGCAGACGTGTACTGAGCAGTCACCGAGGCGTGTGTTACAGACTCCCCAGCCAACTCGCACGGCTCACATGGATGCACGGACTCTGCTGCTGGGCTTAGGAGTCTGGCTCTGCAACACCCACCCTCCAGGTGATGCTGATGTTGAAAAGCCCTCACAGAACGGCTGAAGTGGAGAACATTTGAGCTAAGAGAGACTCTATAACTTATTTTTAAAAAAAAACCAAAAAAAAACCACCACAACTATTTATAGGTTAAAAGAAGATTAGGGAGTTTCAGTTTCTTATCCAGGACCACACAACCAGAACCAGAACGCACAATGGCTGTGTTTCCCCTCCCAGGTGCACTCCCCCTCCTTTCCCGCCCCTCATCCCAGCCTCCCCAGCTTCCCCAGCCTCGGACCTGTCATCCTCCCGCCACGCCCCTGCACCAGCACCCCACAGTGCCTTCTGCTTCCTCGCAGTCTCGGGGGAGGTTAGCACGTGCCTTCAGGTGAGCAGTGTGGGCCCAGAATAAGTCCATGTGCTCTTGGGAGAACTGCCTGCTCATGGCCTCCAACTTCAGTGCTGTGTCTATTCACACAATGTTCTAGGCTCCTACTGTGTGTCAGACCCATGCTGGGCACCAGGAATATCACTTGGTAGATCACATATGGGTTTATGTACTGGCAGGGAAGATGAGCATCAGACAAATGATCATGGTGAAACATGGTGAGTGACAAGAAAGAGAAAGTTCAGGTACTACAGGGGCACAGACCAGGGTCCCCACTCATGTGGGTGGATGAGGGATGCATCCCAGAGAAAGCTGAGCTCTAAGGGGTCGGCAGATTTAGGGCCTGTGGGTGGGGTCACAGGCAGCAGGGGAGGAGTGTTCTGGGGGAGGGAGGGCATGGGAGTTGTTTGAAGGCGCAGATGGAGGCCAAGGAGGAGAACAGGGCAGCTTGGAGGCGCTGAACGAGGTACAGAGTGAGGGGAGTTGGGCAAGATGGGGCTCCAGACAGTATGCTAGGAGCTGGCTCATGAGGCACCTGGTAAGTACGGTCAGCTGCTTGTGTATTTAAATTTTTCCTGCCATATAATTCACCCTTTTCAAGTGTACAAGCCAGTGATTTTTCAGTAAAGCTACCAATTGTACAATCATCACCATAAACCAGTTTTAGAGCATTTTCATCCCTCCAACAAGATTCCTCACGCACATTCACTCTCCCTCCCAACCTCCCATGTCCATCTTAGGCAGCCATTAATCTCCTTTCTGTTTCCGAAGTTGGGCCTTTATTGGGTATTGCATGCCGTGTGACCATACAATATGTGGTTCCTTGTGTTTGGCTTCTTTCATTGAAGGAGCCTTTCTTTTCATCTTAAAACCATGAGGGGTCCTTGCTGAGTTTAAGAAGTAATAAGACCAGAGAGATCGCTGGGACTGTCTTGTATAAAATGACTCAGAGGAGATGAGCCCTTTGGGGAGAGAATGGTGTGGAGGCCGCTGGTGTTCCAGGCTGGAGCAGGTGCCCACAGGACAGCATGGCGCCAAGAGGGTGCAAAGAGGCTGCTCACTTCATACAACAGCCCTGGCTCCAGGGAGCTCTTTGTAGAGTGAGCCTGGTTCTTCTGAAAACAAAAAATAATAAGTAAAATTTTTCAAACTAGCCAAAACTGGTTTGGCTCAGTGGCACATGTGTCAAACACAAGGCCCGCGGGCCAAATCTGTCCCGCCAGGCCTTGCAATGTGGCCCGCACCGCGCTGTCATCACTGCACTCCGCTGTGTTTCCATCACAATGACAGTTTATGACTGTTCAGTAAACCATTCGGCCCGCGATTTAGGCTGGATTTTAGATTTTGGCCCCTTGTCTGATTGAGTTCGACACCCCTAGGATAGAGCGTCGCCTGCAGACTGAAGGGTCCCAGGTTTGATTCCTGTCTAGGGCATGTACCTTGGTTGTGGGCACATCCACATGGAGGGTGTGCAGGAGGCAGCTGATTGATGTTTCTTTCTCATCGAGGTTTCTAACTCTCTATCCTTCTCCCTTCCTCTCTGTAAAAAAAGTCAATAAAAATACATTAAAAAAAAATTTTTTTTTTCAAAAAACATAGGAACCAGCCCCCACCATTTGTTGAGGTGGATCTCTACAGGTTGCACATTCTCTGTATGACCACTCATATTCCTGGGTGGATAGACAAGAAGCTCCTCTGTCCATCTGTGTCTGTCAAGGCCCTGAGGCCGCACGATGGTTCTGGGTTCTGACACAGCCAAAGGGACACTATGACCTCATTTTACAAGCACAGGCGTGGCCAGACCCTTCCCTCCTTTCCTCTGGCTTTAAGAGAAAGAGCCGAATGCCAAGGAAAGAAGCTAATAAAATGTGTTGAACTTTTGTTGTGAAAACATTATTCCAGGGATATTCTGAAGTCTGCCCACACTCAGTCAAACTTCCACACCACATTCTGCTACCGTCTCATACAACAGGATGTGATGCTCAGAGTGAACACCTCAAGACCTATGGAGGCTTCAGGTGACAAAGTTGTTCATTAAGGAATAAATGCATATTTTAAAAAGATTTCAACACAAAACTTTGCACAATTATCAAAAAAGAATTTAATGCTTAGTGTGTGTGTGTGTGTGTGTGTGTGTTTTAAAATAAATCTTTATTGTTCATATTATTACAAATGTTCCTCATTATTTCCCCTCCATTGCTTCCCTCCACCAGGTTCCCACCCCACCCTCTGCCCTTTCCCCACCCCCCACTGCCTTCATCCATAGGTGCACAGTTTATGTTCAGTCTCTTCCCGCACCCCCCACTCCCCTTTTCCCCGAGAATCGTCAGTCCACTCCTCTTCCATACCTCTGATTCTATTATATTCACTAGTTAATATTGTTTAACAGGTTTTTTAATTCTCTTGGCTTTTAGTTTCACTTGTTGATAGTTACATGTTTGTTGATCATAATTTTTATCTTTATCTTCTTCCTCTTTCTAAATAACCCTCTTCAGCAATTCATATAATTCTGGTTTGGCAGTGATGAACTCCTTTAGCTTTTTTTTATTAGTGAAGCTCTTTATCTGGCCTTTGATTCTGAGTGATAGCTTTGCTGGGTAGAGTATTTTTGGCTGTAGGTTCTTGCTATTCATCACCTTGAATATTTCTTGCCATTCCGATCTGGCCTGCATGGTTTCTGTTGAGAAATCAGCTGACAATCGTTTGGGTGCTCCTTTATAGGTAACTACCTGCTTTGCTCTTGCTGCTTTTAATATTCTCTCTTTGTCTTTTGCTCTTGGAATTTTAATTGTGATGTGTCTTGGTGTGGTCCTCTTTGGATTCTATGTGCTTCCTGGACTTGTAAGTCTATTTCTTTCCCCAGGTGGGGGAAGTTTTCTGTCACTATTTCTTCCAGTATTCACCTCCACAGTTCTCCGCACTTTTGGTGTCTTGCTCTTTCTCTTCTCCTGGGACCTCCATAATTCTGATGTTGGTTCGTTTGAAATTGTCCCAGAGGTTTCTTACACTATCTTCAACTTTCTGGATTCTCTTATCTTCTTGCTTCTGTGGAGTGTCCTCTGGCTCTTTGTGTTCCAAATCTTTGACTTGATTCTTGCGATCTTCCATTCTGTTTTTAGGAGTCTGTATAATATTTTTTATTTCAGACAATGTGTTCTTTATTTCTCTCAATGAGAGAGAAACATCGATCAGCCGCCTCCTGCACACCTCCTACTGGAGATGTGCCCATAACCCAGGTACATGCCCTTGACGGGAATTGAACCTGAGGCTTTTCAATCCGCAGTCTGCTCTATTCACTGGGCCAAACTGGTTAGAGCTCTTCAAAGAACACTTTATTTCATTATTTAGAGATTATAAAATTAAAATATGTTAATGGTAGAAAATTTAGAAACTCCAGGAAATTTAACAAATCATCTCATCACTTATTATCTGACCACCCAGAGACTACTGATGTTAGATTTTATTGTATCTCCCTTCAGCTTTTCATATGTAAAACAAAATAGATAGGATAAGCACAGCTTATGAGAAAAGCAAAGCAATTTTGTTTTTGACTCTCCCTTCCCCCTACAATTGGCTCCATGGAGCTATTGTCCCTGGAGGAAAACCCAGCCACTCCTAAGACTTTTCTGGCCACTCTAAGTTAATACAAAGGCATTTGGACATTTAAAGTTGCAAAACAGAGCCACAATCCATAAATTATAATGTCAGGTAATACAAAGTCATCTGCACCCTGGTCTTCATTCAAAGGTAAGACTGCTTTCCCCAGGGCCTGCTGCAGATGAGGTGGTAGGGAGGGCATGCTCAGTTTCTTCTCTTTTCCTCCATCATCTCCTTCCTGACTTGTTAGCCGTTGTTTCTAACCCTTTTGGGGGCAGAAGGGAAGCCAGAAAGGACAGTAAGTTCTCACCTGAATGGCCCTGTTTTAAGTCTGCATGCTTCCCTACAAACTCCAGAAGTGAAGACTGACCCCAGAGTGGCAGCAGCCTGCCCTTCACTCTTACCACGGAAGTGGCAATGAACCCTGTTCTCTCTAACTTTGGAGACTGTCCAGGAAGGAATTAGCACAGCCGCCCATCACGTCCCTCAGCTTTGGGAACACATAGCCAGCC